GTCCTTGCAATTAGTTCTAGTCTTCGGCTGACGCCTCGGACTGGAACTAATTGCACGGACTTGAAATCCCGTCCAGTCCAAATTGTCGGACTAAACATTACTAAACATTACTTCAAAATCACTGCCTTGATTGAAAAATAATACAACAGTTGAATCTCCTCTTTTTGAGACAGTTTTGGTTGGTGAAGTGGGTGAGAATGGCTGTAATTCACATTGATTCTGACCTGAGATTCAGTGATTGGCAATTTTCCCTCCATTGATACAAGCTGATCGTAATATCTAAAGCATGAAACAAATAATATCAGTGAACAAATATCAATATTTAATTTTAAGGTCACCAAAGTTTAGTTGAATCAGGTTGAAAGTGGATCTTCATTTCTTGAAAATAATAAAAATAAAGACCTTTACATTTACACTATTTTGTATGAGTTAATTACGTTTAGCTATACATTAACATGCACAATTAAATGAGAATTGAATTGAATGTAAAAGAAAATACCCATCAATCCAAGTACTTGCTAAACGTATTAAAGTTATCCTTTAGCCGCACAATGAGTGTATAAGGATTGTATCGAATGAATCCATCTTCAGATTGTATGATTTTACAGACAGCAACACTTGAGACGACGAACAAAGTTTTCGGGGAGGAAGGTATCTTTGAACAAGTTCTTGGATATAAATGGGAGCAGTAGAATTCAGAGCTTTGAAGACCAGAAGAAGAATTGTAAATTTTATTCTAAATTCAACAGGTAGCCAGTGAAGATTGATTAAAATAGGAGTGATATGGTTGCGTTTCCTGGAGAGAGATACAAGTCGAGCGGAAGCATTTTGCACMGACTGTAGACAAGACRAGACTTTTCGGCAGACTATATAAAACAGAATTGTAATTAATCAAGTTTTGAAGTGATGAAGGCATGGATCAGGATTTCATTTGATTTGAGAGATAGATATTTTCTGATTCTGGAAATGTTTCTAAGGTGAAAGAAGGCAATCTTACAGGTATTCTTTATGTGAGGAACCATGGTTAGAGAAGAATCAAAAATAACACCAATGTTTCTTGCAGTTTTACAGGATATATTAGTTCAGAACCAAAAACAAGATGATTACGCGTGGAAGATAATTGAGGATTTGTTTTTGAAGAAAAAATTAAAAATTCAATTTTATCTTCAATGTCAGAGAGGCAATCATTCATTCTTTTTATGGCATCGTCAAAGGACAAGTCATCATTGCAGGAGAATGGGACATATACTGGTAATTGAGTGTCATCAGCATAGATATGATATGACATTTTATTATATAGCTYGGATGTAACACACGATTTCATTGGCTAAAAACGGGCCATACTTTCTCGTACGGACCAGAYGAAACTAGAAAAAACGTTTTTTATCTTAAAAAGGCTYGCTTTCTCWCTTTTTRTAGTTGTACTGTATAAAAAAAAGTCAAAAATGAATCCAAATTTTGCCATCAAGTTTTTTCAGGCTTTTCTTTTTTCCTTCTATTTTGAATGRCAAGAAAAGTATGAACAAAAACATATTTTTATGTCCGATTCTCTATTAATTTTACTATTATTCTCTGAAAATGCTATATAATAAATATCTTATTAACCTCACTTGCTCGAGCCGTACGGGAAGTTATGGAACCTCGTTTTTTCCCCTTTTTATGGCCCTCGTGCTACACGCTCTGGCCATAAGGCAGTGGAAAAAAAAACAGTCCATAATTTCCCTACGGCCCTTGCACTCGGGTAATAAGATATTAGTAGTTTTCGAAGGATATCAGCAACAGGTGACGTGTAAAGAATGTACAAGAGAGGACCAAGAACTGAACCTTGTGGTACACCACACACAAGAGGGAGAGAGACAAATTGAGTACGAAAAATAAAAATAATGCTTGATAATAGACATTTCTGCCCAAATAAATGGCAGAGGTTAAAGCAGACCAATTTATGATGCTGATGATTCTTGATTGATTGTTTCAATGGCATTATGAAGGCATCTTTTTGATCCTGAAAGTTGTTGATACATGTATTCTAATTTAACTGAAGCAATCGAATGCAAAATCATACAAAAACATTTTTGTAATCTGACCAGCAATGAAAACCTGCAACAAACTTTGATACACTTGGACATTGCCATGGAAAACCATTGATTGATTTTCACCAAAAGCCTGCTTTTTTGCTTAATTTTTTTTAAAGATTCYTCCAATATTGTACCTGAATAGAGCTGTGAAGTGAACACTTGGACAAGGAAAGAGGAAAGGAGGAGGACCAAAATAGATCTGGAGTCAAACCRRAAAGAATTTAAGACCATKAAAAAAATGGAAGTCGTATGGAATGGGTTCCTGCATTGTAAGGAAAATGATGGAAAAATGGAAGAAGAGAAAGGTGAATAACACTGACACCACAGCTGACCCAGTTGACTGGAGATTTGAGATATCCAATAGACAACTTCTTATTGTTACTAAAACTTCTGTGTGAAACAGCACCTTACATATCTGGCCCACATATGTAGAATGGGCAATGACTCATATCAAAAGCAAATGCTGTTTGGAGACAAACAGGTTAGCCTGTGAAACAAGGTCGTGCATGCTCTTGACATCGACAATCAGCAGGCAAGAAGAATGGAAGAAGGATTTCTTGCAATTCCTTGAAGACTGTTTTAAAAGAGCACCTTAAGACTGTTGTACTGCCAAATTAGGGAAAGCATAATCATGATGACGATAAAATACAGGGAGAGAAAGCAGATAACCAAGAAGCCTAGAAAATCTTGTTGGAGGTGCTATGTGCCACCTAGAGCTATGCTATGTGTTGATCACAAACAGCACATACTTGCATGTGCAACCAAAGTTCCCACATTATTTTGCATTGTAGTGTTCAGAGTAT